GAAATAATGAGACGAACGCTGGAGGGTCTCCAAAACCCTGGTGTTCAAATAGCCAGTGAAGAAAACCTTGTCGATCTGGAATATGCAGACGACATCGTTCTCATGTTCGAAGAGGAGGAAATGGCGCAAGTATTCTGGGATGAACTGACCAAAGTCATCCCGTCCTTTGTTATGCACTTTGCACCCACAAAGTGTAAGGTCATGCTTGTGGACGTGCAGTCACTGAACACGCCACTTACGATCCAGGAAGAGGCACTGGAAGTTGTGGAGCGTTTTACGTATCTTGGAAGTTGTATTAGTTCTGATTGCAGTGTGACAGATGAGGTGAATGCTCGAATCTGCAAGGCTCGGGCCACGTTTGCTAACTTGACACACCTATGGCGTCAGAATGGTTTATCCCTGAATCTGAAGGGACGTGTGTATCAAGCTACAGTACGGGCTGTTTTGTTGTATGGCTGTGAGACTTGGCCTATTCGAGCAGCGGACCTGTGCTTACGGACTTGTGCGTTGATTGTAGGTTTCGGCCGTTTAAGGAGGTATAGGTGGACAGCTACGCACTGGGAATAAGGACTGATACCATTGGTCATTCCAGGAGTGATAGTGAGATTTCCATTGGTAAGCTTGAAAGGGAAAGCTCCACACTGACGGCAACAGCTTAGATGCATGCATGCGACCAAATCATGTCTGTCATTGTGTCCGGTCTCGGGTTTCCCATCCAGGGATACGGTAATAACCAGCTCAACTAAGGTTGGCTAGTAACGGCTTTCATATTTCCCTCCCCAATCGTTGTTTGACCATCCCTGGCGCGTTTCCATATTTTACCCGGTTGTGCCGAAAGAACTCTGCGAGAAAGTCCGTCGACCGACACTTAGAGCAGGTAACCAGGCTGGTACACTGGACTAGGTTCAGTGCATCTATCGTCGGCGGGTTATTTCATCTGAAAAACACTCGATGCACTTTAGCTCCACTTACCCTCTTTTCTCCAGGCTTAATCTCCAAGTTATGAAACTGCCAGCTTCTTGCTCTGATGTCAAAATGGAGCTCACCGTAAAGTTGTAGACTCGACCGTTGACACGTAAGTTGATATCACGCCTTCACTGCAGGTGAGGCAGGTTGACGGAGTCCCTCTGGTCTCCCTGATCCGAATGGAAATACCGTCTTCAGGTAGATCACCTGGGTTCATAGCCAGGTAGAAAATTTGCTTATGATTCATCCACGGCATCGCTGAAGGTGTGAGGTTTGCGAAATAGAATAATCTAGCTTATTTAATATGGTTTGTCTTATACTGACATCAGACCATCGAAGAGCCTTGTTGTCTGTCTACTCGATATCTGTGAGCGAATACCCTGGAGTTCAAAAGCATTACCGGCTAGAAATCAGTCTTCGGTGATCATGTCGACGATGATTTTGGGGAAGAGGAACGGGATGACAGCCTTGCCTAACATCACTGGATGTAGCAGTCTGGTCAGAGCTTACTGTGCCTAGGCCTTCGCGCGTCCCCGGTATTTGGATTATGGCGCTTTGAGAGTCAATAATTAATGGAGATACCTATGCTTCATGGACAATGTCATCGTACCCGATGGTCCACACTCAAAGGTGGCTTCTTCGTTGTAAACAGTGTCACTTTCAGAATCTTCCGGAGAATGAACATGTGTCCAATGCGCCCTCTTACAGGACGGAACCTACCATGGTTTTCACGGACCTTCCTCTGTGTTTAGTTAACTTTCTAGGGATGAAACCAGAGATCACCTTCGGTGCCACAGCTACCGGTTTGACACTGCTATGGCTTTCACACAGTGTTCGCTCACTTTTCTTGGAGATATCGTTGATTGCTGATGTACCCCACTCTGCGGTCCTCGTACACCATCGCTGAGTTCCGTCAAAGATAGCTAGATACAAACCGTCAGGTCTTGGCTTTTCGGTTGCCCTTGTCTAGCCGTAGGCAACTTGCCAGTATCAGTCCCCGTGCTTTCATCGTGTTGCACAGGTGCTATGCGTCTAAGGAGTGGAACGACTGGACGGCTATCATTATTATTATTTCATATGCTATGCGAAGAATACGGACTCCGGTTCAGTAATTTGTGCTTTCGAACCACATGACGGTCATTGACTAACAGAACCCAGCTGCTGTGCGACCCACTAAGATGTGTACGGTCCAGAGAAACAGACTCAATCAAATGCCCGACTTCGACTGAATAAGGGGATAGGTTCAACCATGAATCAAATAACCTTTTTGATGGTTTTATATCCTGCTGTCCTACAGCGTGTACGTGTTTGTACAAAGGCCAGAGGCTCATCCTCGAATATAAAGTATGTCGTGTTGAGGTCATCCGCGTCACTCCAGGTCATGCTACTGGTCGTACCTCAGGCAGCAACGCTTTGAAGTATTCTTGAAACTCACTCATTCTTCTTCGGGTGGAAGTCAACATAAAAAGTAGGCTTGCGTTGTAAGTAACCTCTTCGGTCTCTATACAGTTTTGCGTTCAATCCATCTCTTTCAGTCGGGACTCTTCTGTGCCCGGGGTTTGGGCGTCTTCGCATGACCACGTTTGTCCTACTGTTATCGGCAATGCTGCTGCTGATTTTATCGAAAATGCGAGTTTTATATAAGTGGATTTGCTAGCGTAGGAAGTGATGCCACCTTTCCAAATGATTGGAGCGTTATTACTGCAGCCTGAAATAAAAGAATGCGTGATTGTGTAAGCTATTAGCTACCTTTATATTAGCAAGTACCTGACCAGGTACAACAAAGTGCTTCCAGATTATTGTGTTTACTCAATTCCGTAAACCCTTTTGGATTCGCAATAAGACTAGTTTGGACCAGTAGAATTTATTCCTTCGCTTTAATCGTACTTGCTGATGACTTTTTTAAATGTACATTTACTTTTCAGTTTCTGCTATGTCCAAGTATACCACAGATGGGTTCGAACGTAAGAACTCGGCACCTGTCAAAAGCTCAGTGTCAACAGGTACGTGTCGAATACTTATCTACTGTCTTCAATGGAGCACATTTTGTCTGTGTTTGATATCCGTTAATACTATCACTGTACCCATTTTCTCGTTATCCAGATGGGAAGGTGGAACGGAAACGTTCCGCTGGAGACGGCCAAGGTGATTTGCTGATCATGTCCATATGTTGCTACGCATAAGTGCCATAGCAATTTTTTCGTATCCTCACGTAGAGCATCCTCGTTTGCACTGATGAACCGCCACCTTGGTGACCACCTTACCACTCGTTTTTCTCACCCACTCATCCGCCTGCTTCCCCGTTTCTTTTCACATTTGGCATGCGGCTACAAACCCTTCATCAGCATGATTTACGTCGATTCGGTGGCCTTCTGAATCTTACTGTTAACATGAAGCCCAGGTCTAGATCTTCTTCAGGTAGCTGTAGTTTGGTTTTGTTCCCATCGGCCCACCATGTTTTTTCGTTCCTTCTCTTATGTTGTCTTGCCACACACTGGCTTCTGGCTCAACTGACAAACTGGTTTCTACTTCCCTTAGGTGCCGGTGCGGTTGATGAAGAGATGTTCCGGGCCTCGTTTGTCCCGGCTATGTCCATCACGGTAGGTAAATTTTCCTCTCCCACAATGAATCTCCATAGGCCTACTCATCCAAAGAACTCCTGGATATCATGGGACGAATCAAAGACAATTTGTCTGTTTCGGCGGAAGAATGGGAGAAACGAGTGGATGCCGTAAGTATTCATCTCACTTCTGGTGTTGTCCTTGTTTCCAACATTTGCAGCTAATTTGACCATATTTTCCCTTTGCGTTTCACCGTCCAGCTAAAAACATTGCGTGTCCTGGTCGCTAACGGCGCTAATCAGTTTGAGGAGTTCATTCCACAGTTGAAGACGTTAGAAACACAAGTAGATGGGTGTTTGCGTGACCTGCGGTCCTCAGTTGTACGGGAAGCCTGTATCACTGTCGCGTAAGTCCCCATCTTAATTTTTTTGAAGGATTTCATGAATTGTATGAATTTTCGGTCTACCCAGCTGCAGACTTATGCAGACAATCCGTATACTGCGCACTAGTCAGAAATGTCCTGGCTGGATAGTGATCGATCTTCGCGAACCAATAATTACTAAATCATGGGCTGAAGATTTAACCAGATTGGACATGTGATCAATCCTGAGCCTGTCAGTATGTTAAAAAATGCCAGACGAGTCGCTTCCATTGATAGTTGATCAGGTGGCTGTTGGACTGAGTCTGGCAGTCTTCTTGCAAATGTTCCGTCGCCAATCGAGGAAACATCATCACTTTGTGTTAAGCTGGGGTGACGATTTCTTCACGATTTGGAAATTTGAAAACCAATTACCAAGTTCAACGAACAGCTAAAAACCAACAACACCGAACCTTATTCACAGGAAAACTTCCTTTCAGAATCTATTCTATTTTGCCTCCATGCTTACATTTTGCATATTGTGTCATGTTGGATGGCGCTTCATTCAGTCTAGAGAACTTCCAAATAGCCCTATATAAATTGGAGCATGTCATATGCAGCAGTATCCTAATTACCAGGTTGTTTACTTCTTCGCCAGCCGGTTTTTTGCAGCAGCTTTGTTGGTTCATTAATCATTGTCCTGGGATTCTTCTTCGCTTTAAATAAATCTGCTCCCTCTGTCTCCGGGGTATGGTTCATTATTGAATTGAATTCATCGTCCCCGTCCGGTCACCAGTCTGTCATGGCGCGCTTCCCTTTTTCGCATTTTTCATACCGATTTCTATTCTTTGTGACTTGTTTGCATTCTTACTTCAGTGGTACCAGTCGTCATATTTTTCATTGACATTATCACCTCGCCCTTGTTTGTCTTCTCTCACCCAGGTACCTCTCTCAGCAACTAGGAACTCGATTTGATCGCTTTGCGGAAACCATCTTGCAGACTCTAATAGGATTGATGTCTAATAGTGCCAAAATTATGGCCAGTAGTGGTGTCCTCGCCACACGCTTCATTCTTGAGGTGAGCTGTACTGCCATACTTATTTTTGTTTGATGCACATTGCTAGTTTCGTTAATGATAGGCATTCCACCAAAATGCACGCGAGTGCTCTTGGAATTTTGTGAGGTGCTGTTCAATTGGTTATACCTTAGTAGCAGTTAGTTGGACAAGAAGAAAGTAGATGCTGGAGGTACACACCCCCTGATTTGGCATTTTAGTCCGTTCTTTTAGAATACTACTGGCGCCTGCTTGATATGCGAAGGAGCATATCTCGTAGGCGACAACATGCTACACCGTATTTTTTCTCGTTCAAGTTCGTGCCCATCACAATCAGTCAACTTGCTTTCAAGACGGGCTAAATAAAAATCGTACAATACCCGGACGGCGTACCAACATGTATGAGTAATAACAACCTTTTGCTCGGGACCGCTAGCTGACAAGTATTGAGTTTCTCAGGGACTATTTTCGTTGATTCTCGCATCCTGGATGTCCACTGAGCTCTGGAGACACACTGATGGTACAGTCGTTGGTGGTGATCAGGATACTTTGGCTACCAACCACACGGCGTAGGTGTCTACCTGGCAATGTTTTTCCACACAGACGTGTGATATAGTAAGTGCGGTAGTTATTTCCTGAGCACAGGTGAAAGGGTAAATGTATAGGATGAACTCTGACACGTAGATCAAATGTTTCTTGGTGGTCTGCATAATTGTGTTCAGGACGGCAACAAGTCTGTTTTTTATTCCCGCGCTCGCAGTAATTTTTCTAGGGGAGACCTTTTCGACATTTGGTCACACTCTTGAAGATGCAAAACAGTCTTTCCCATTAATCTTGACCTAGGCGACTATCATTCCTCTCCGTGGAAAGGAGCTAAATAGCATAAAAGTGCATTGACGATATCCTCTTGATTGATGGTGAAACTTTTGCCAAACACGAGAGCACAGCGGCGAACTTTTCCGTCTCTTTTGGAGTAATTTTCTCCAGTCTCTTGTGCTTATTTCAACTTGCTTCATAATCGTTAATAACTGATCTGGACTAAGCGGAATAATTACATCCAAACGGGAGGGGAACACTAGACTTTGGCAAGACACAAGCGCTGTGCTGCACGCATATCTTGGCCATTTACCCTTCTTGAGAATGTATGTCGTGCATGTCATTTTGGGTAGATAGGAGAGAATTTCCATACATCAACTTACCTCACCAACGAGCTGGGCAACGTTATCTATTTGACTGTTGGCGATGAGTTTTCTACCACACACCTAGGCGCTGTGCAGCGCTCATCATGTCTGGTTACGTCCATCGTTGCCTGATCTCCACCTATTATCAGCTAATAAGTAGTACTGACAAGAATTGCCGATCAAAAACAATATCCTTTCAGTAGTCAGACTGCGCTGTTGAAAAAATAATAGGCATCTTGTTTTCCATCTTTTGTGTTTTCCCACCGCCTATCGATGTATTTTTGTTGTTTGCGTTTATTTTACGTTTATTTCCGATATTACTATTGTACAGAATTCCAGATGGCTAAAATCACTGCCATTGTTCACTATCGGTGATTCACTGCCTATTAAACATACCGTTTCACTTGAGGCAGGTCGTTTTGTAAAAACTGCAAGTGTCGAATGAACATGGACCTAATACAAACATTCCAATTAGCTGTCCCAACATTTGCGCTGATCAAATGGAATTGATCGCTTCTGCATTGCAACCATTATTGATCCCCCTATTTTGATGCTTCACGCGAACGTTAATTTTCTTAAGCTACTCGGAATGGGCTACTTTGTAAACATTCGTTTAATCGGGTCCCCGTCATTATGAGCGAACATAACACTTTTCCTGGACACGAGAAGCCGCAGCAGTTTTGTTTTATATCATTGTCGATCCCATGGGTTTTCTATTGAACCATTCCTCTGATCGATCAAGATATGTTAGCGAGTGGATTCGCCAGTGCTGTACGTAACTACTGGGCAGTACACGGGGTGTAGGTCAGGTTTTGTTATGGATCGGAATCTGGTACGATCAACGGCCATACGCGACCTGAGAACGAGCGCACGAATCCCCAGCTATCACGAGAGCCCGACCACTCCTAGTGCAGAGAGAGAAGAAGACCAGACGTTCAGAAGAGGGCTTTTACTGCATTATATACATATATATATATATATATATATTTCGGGTGATCTTGAGGAGGGGGCGCGGTCTTTTTGGATTGAGCTGCAACATGGCGGAAAGGGCGCGAAATTTAGAAATTCAAAACTTTTGGAAAATAAAATAATTTTAACTCGAAAAATAAACCGTTTTTAGGGATACTGACATCCCCAACAGGTTTCAATTGGAACATGTAGTCAGGTTTTAGGTTACGTCCGACAAACCACAATTATGAGGTCTGGAGAGTATGGAGAAAGGTCCCTTCGTAATCCGTATAAATAAATCTCTCTTCTCTGCCTAAAGGAAAGTTAGTGGCGAAAAAATTCGGGACTAACGGAAATAGCTATTTTCTTATGATGATTTGGGAGGGGGGGGCTCTCTTATCTCACTAAAGCGGAATCACTACACTACTAAGGTCCATATAGGTGTGCAATTTCGCAGTGCCCTTTTGGTGTGTTGGAGACATGACAGAATATCATCACCAATGACCATAAAAGAAATTAATCAGCTGTTTTTTTAATGAATTTGACGATGTTTGCATTCAACTCCTATAAGAGACGGAACAAAAGTAAAAATGCCGAAAACTTTCAGTATACGCTGTCATTTGGGTCGTCGTGGCTCCCACCTTTCACTTTTTCGGGATTAGTTGGTTCTTCAGTTCTTCACTTACGCAACTCGTGCGATGACCGCGCACACTAACCTGTCGGAGGGTTTCCTGGGACATTAAAATCTTTTCATAACTCGAAACACGTTTTATAGACCTAGACATGCACTTCTGGTAGAGTTGTAGTTGATATGCTGCATATCCATGAATAACCCCCCACTCTCCAGGGCATTCCTATACAGGGACGACACCTCAAGTGCGATGCATTTAAGGTTTTTGAAATTGGGACATGAGTTGAGGTGTCTCATCAAACAAAATAACCTTGATGATAGCTTAACGCACACTTCAGTGCCATACAACATCACTTCAGTGGGAAGCTTAGTCATGTCAGATACACCTTCGAAGTTACCATAAGGGGCGCTCTGATATTGGTTCAACAACAGTATTGGCATCGTTGGCCAATCAACGCTTTCCAAATCTGTCTCCTCGGGCAGCGAAAGTCGTATAGACTGATACATGCACAAAATACATAACTCAACCTGAATTGTTACGTTCCTCTTGAAATACAGACTATCCGTCGTAGTGCGAAAACGTGGGACTGAGCCGTCCTGGTGTCTTCTAAGGAGCGTACTTCACGGGTCGCTTCGCATGACAGATTCTAATTTGCCCCGTTAAACGTCAAAGTGATTAGTTATGTACTGTACTATCAAAACTGTCGCAAGCACGCTATGTACGATCGATTCTTCTGGTAAGTTATTTTTTCACTTTAAGGAATCTGGAGCTTTGTAAAACATGAGCGGAAGTCAAGATGACATTTAGTTCCTAAGATGCTTGCTTTCTGGCCTAAATGTTCGGTACATCGTTTTCACCATACTTTTCCCACGGCAACCAAAATTTCGTTCCCACTTGTCACTTTGCAACGTCCGCAAGCCGAAAGTTACATTATGTACTTTACCCTAACTTCTAATTTACGCCTTTTCGTCTCTAGCAGAATTTAGCTACGGATTACCGTCATTTGCAAATTGTCTTCCTTTTTTCCGTCAGAACACCCATTCTCCCAGACTGCTGCCAATCTTGATGAGCTCGATGACATGTAAATCCAACGTGACTCGAAAGTGAGTGCATTAGCTATTTTTCTTCTACCCCCCGTTGTGGAATGCGATGTCGAACATGTGTCTGACCTCCAAACCCCTTGTCGAGGCAGAGAAATTTCATGTCGAGGTTGAACGGACGCATGTGAATGCATCACGTAAATGATAACCTCAGTATTGATTACTGAAAGAACAGCTCCCATGCCCACCTTAGCTACCAACAAACAACTACGTTTTTCATGAGGGAAACTACCCTCCCGTGAAAATGAGTGTATTTGTCGAGATCTGTCCAATTTGAGTTCAAGTGGAACCAAAAGTTGATGGAAACTTAGAGGCCCAAGAAGGGCGAAGCCGGTCGCGGGCTTTCGAAGTGTTTTTACCAACCTTGTGAGTAGTTTTCCTTTATGAAAATAATCTGCGACATCTCGAATATCGTAGCAGGTAAAGCATGAGGCGGCCTTTGTGCAGCATATTTAGTTGAAGAATATCAGTTGAGTTTCCCGTGATATGCAAATGAGTGTATTTGTCGAGTACTATCTATTTTCTTCATTTTATCGGAAGTACTTTATCATACATGCAGTTCACATTACTTACCAAGCAAATCTTATTTCGTTAGTCACTCCTATTCAGACTAATATTTGTCAGGAAGCAAATGTTGGTGTCTTGCCTCTTCTATTTCGGTATCTCAGTTTACACGATGCTAACGCCAGATAGTGGACTGGTGGTGTTCTGCCTGGCCCGATCATCTTTTATTCTCTTCAGTCTATTTGTGCACTAACGCTCATTCCCAAAACCGATCTTAACGCTTCTGTCGCTGCCTTTCAGATGCATTTGTGAGTTCCTCGAAGTCATTTTCCGCACATGGCCCGTAAATGTTTTGGAAAAGCACTTGGGTCTTCTGCAAGATTCGCTGAGACGTGGCATTTACGATGCCGACCAAGAAGCTCGTGGTTTCTCACGACGGTAAGATATATCTGCTCTCATTTTTCGGATTTATCGCTGGGCTACACCCTCTAAATCTGCTTAAATTTGTGCATGCACACAGCAGCCTACCTTAAATTTGAACAGTGAATTGTTCTTCCGGAAAGCAGTCTTATCTGTTTGTTTCAACTGTACTGTACACTAGGCGAAATGTACCCATTTGCAGTTAGGTTGATGTGAAAAGGATACTCAACTGAATCCTGACTGGATCTCTCGCTAATGGTATTCATCAACTGACTTTGCTGTACGAAGGCAGCCTCACGCTTCGGACACAAAAATATACTGCGGCATCTCGAATATCATGTCAAGTAAGATGTTAAAAGTTGAAAGTACCATAAATGGGAGGTTCAGCTGGGATTCAGTTGTCTTCGGTCAACAGGGGCGAGATGGCTTAGTGGTAAGAGCGCGAATTTGCTGACCGGCAAGTCCGTGTTTCGAACCCAACCTCTGCCTCTCGACTTCTCCTGTCCAGAAGGTCTAGGTTTGGACAACCTGGCAGTATCCCAGTCCTCGTGCTTCCATCTGGTGGCATGGCAGTTAAGGAACCAGAGGGTGCTACAGCTGAACGATTTTTTTCCGACATTAAGTCAGTTCGCAAGTGGGTTATTTTGCCAGCTGTGTGCGACGGTTGACGGAAACCTGGAGACTGCCTGTATGATGAGCCCGAACAGGGGCCTGGTCTGTCAAAGAGTTTTTGTCAACCTTAGGAGTAACGTGTTCTTCCAGGAACATGAACTATACCCGCTGATACACACGCTACTTTCCATTGTGATTATTTTCAAAAAGACGGCAGTCTTTTCTCTTTGTTCAAATGTTCCCAGTAGAATGAGACTACTACTACCACCACCACCAAATGCACTCACTCGTACTTGCTCAGTTTTAACCCGGAACTTACGACCGCATGTCACTTTCCTAATGTGGTTTACCTGGCCGTTGATCTGTCACTGAGTCCCAGTTCCAGCCATGCTATCAGGTTCCGTCTGTAATGCGAACTGTTGAGCTCTATCACCAGGTTCTGTGTGTACCCATCCGTGTGCTCGTGTCGCGCGTCCTATGTCGTTCCTACGATAATGCATTTGTGGGTAGGATGTGTGAACACTCTGGATTTCCTGCGTTAATTACAGTCGCCCCATACCTGAACCTTGTTTAGGAATATAAAGTTGGCAAAACCTACACCTAAGTGGCCACCTTTCATTATTCAGTCTCCAGTCTCCGATGTCCGTTCGGTCGCTGTCAGTAGTGGAGCAACCCTTCTGTTTATCTGGGTACATTTAATTCCAATCGTTCTACTCCTGTTTACAGTGCCTTCCCTTTGTTTGCGGAAAAATTCCCGGACCAGGCCAATTCCCTGCTGCAAAACCTGGATGCTCAAAAACGTAAGCTGATTGAAAAAGATTTGATTGGCATTGGCTTGAGTGGTGTTGGAGACGACGGTTCCGCCCGAAATCGATCCAATAACCAGTCAGCTGTGAACCCGGTCACAAAGCGTCCCAACAAACCAATTCTAGGCACCGCTGCTGTGGGTGCGAACGGCGCTCGAAGTCGTCCTCCGGTTACAAATCAGAACGATATCAATACAGGTTGGTTCCCCCGTAGCCGTTTACACGAACTGTTGCGATCATTTCTTTAAGGACGCATGTGTTCTTATTTGTATATGTATGTGTGTGATGTCATCATTCCTCATATCTATTCTGCCCTTATGGTGCCTAACTTCGTCACATACCTGACTCCATCTGCTGCATTAGGCTAATGAGTAGATTGCTTAGATGACGCTTTCATTCGACTTATGGGATGCATTAACGCCAGAACACCAACTGGTTAATAGCAGGTATGTAAAAAATGCGATCGATTTTCGGGAGAATGTGATATCTCGTCATTCCCGACTTTTGTCCTGGTGTTTTTGATACACAACGGATTCTGCCTGCAAGGTCACATAGAAGCACGTCGATACGATAACGCCATTGCAAGCTGTGATCATAGTAGCCTTTAGTTGGTCGAGGGTATTGGTTCCTTAGGGAAGGTATGTGCGCGTTCGATATCGGAGCGGAAACAAGGTGTAGCATAAAGTGCACCGGCGGAAAGGCAACGGATGGTGAGAACATGAAGGGGAATATTATCAACATGAGCGCTCCAAGACCTTTGCGGCTTCCTGGTCCTCATCTACGTGATTCCCCCTGCATGTCGCTAGGGACGTGGCAGTAACTGGCCGAAGTGGGGAGCATGCTGTCACTGCCCGATTGGATGTGGTCGGATGTTGTGCGTTATACTTATGTTGGGTGGGGTTTGTAGCAACGCTGAGTCATTCCAGCTGCCGGCGTGTCATTTTACGATTTCCAATTGTCATTCGAATGCAAGATACCTTACACTTGACTGTTTTCACTGGAGTCTAAATTTCTTTCCTTCCACTTACGACTTGTTTCTTCATGATTTATGCCCTGAGTCGAGCAACACTATTTGCTAATGATATATATCTGTGGAGAAGTTTGTTTGATACTGGTATTCTGGTGAGTTTTGGTTGGCATCTGTCTGGCAGTAGAATCTTGAGTACATTACTTGGCGAATGACGAAGCCAAGAACTGCGATAACCAGCTGTGGTACTGAAACTCTCAAACGTCTGCAAGGACTTTACATTTTCATTCCAAACTTACGTGCCCAACGCATCCTAATTTATATTGGTTTTGCGTTTTTTTCAATTTATCTTCATATTTTTGCACGTTCTGTCTGTGAACTATATATATAATTGGATTGAATGCTATTGCATCGTTCCACTTTGTGGGCTGGCTGTGCATCTGCACAGCTTCCTGCGCGTAATCTCCCTGTCGTCGCGGTTTCAGTACCTGGGAGTTTTCTTTACATAATGAGCAGCAACATAGAGCCTTCAGTATTCGCACATTTTCAGCCGTCCACCAACACAGGTCGTGTTTATTTTCGATCTCTTCTGACTTGTATTTCAGTGTTTCCATCGCGTTCTGAAAGCAAACAAAGTGGTACAAGAATCTCCCTTACTTCTTTGGGGATGGTGTCACATTTATTGCAACTCCTTGGAGAAATTGAGCCATTCAGATTCATAGAGGCGATATTTCTGGTTCCATAAATAACTAGTCCACAAGGGTGGAAACAAATTAACTATCAACAGCAGTTTTGATAAACCAACCAACTGGTCATTAGCCGATTTGTCTCGATCAATAGATTAGCATGGTAGCCTTATTTGCCACCCAGTTGCGTTTCGGATTTTAGACACTTGAAAAACACAACAACGTTCATCGATTTCCTAACATTCACAATGGTTTGCTTATGACATTAGCTTTCTTCGTGCGGTTGTTTTCTTATTTTTTGTGGGACTGTTTGAAAATACTCAATTATAGTAACCCAGATAACAAGCAAGCTTACAACGTTCATGAACTGATATAAGTCTTGGCCATGGATAAGCAAGCTTTCCGAATCTCCGGAACATCCTCTCTGGTTGAAGTGACACGTTCCAGCACACTAGCAAAAGATGTTAGAATCGCCCGGTAGTTGAGTGAATTCTTACTGAAATGGCCAATGTTGGTAGCAGCTCATATAAGTCGATTCCTCCAAGGGAACACACCCTTCGAGGAAGTGTGAGTTTGTCTGCGGGTGCTGCTTACTCTTGTGGAAGGAGCGGACTTTATTTCCAGCGCCGCGTCCATCACTCAACTCTGTAGTCCCACGCACAATCTACTTTCAGGCCTTGTAGTTTCCAAGCAAAACCAGCGCTACCTAGATTCAGGGGTACAAGGGTGATGAACTCAGTATTGTTCTCCATTTTTCATATGGACGATCACAGTATGTCGCTATTTTTTCCTGTTGTCCATCGAAACATCTTGGGATCATCTGGCATGCTATCTATGGATTTCTGTCTTTGATTCGGGATTATGTTTATTTCCCTCACTATAGTTGGACGGTACGTTCGTCATGGTTCAGTAGTGTCGTCTACTGGGCCCCGAGGACGTGGTACTGGACGCAAGAACGTTTCTCAGTCTCAACGTAAGTTTTAAATTGCCTCCTTTATTGCTTACGAGTAGTATCGGAACAGTTTCTACCCATTAAGGGTGGTCATTTTTGTGACCCACTTCACCTTCTTGACGAGCAGCTCAAAAAGGGTTACATTCATTTCATGGTTAGCTCTTGCATGCGTTCCATTTATGTAACAGTCCCCCATCCATCCTCCGAAACTCCGTCTCCATCATCTGATGGACCTCATCAGTGCATGGTGGTTGACTTTATGGTGAACGCGGGTTTGCGCATTTTGCCCGAAACCCGACCATCATCTGACGATTGTGATCGGTTCGCTCCAAATGTTTTTGATCAACGGGATTTGTTGGAAAACGTGGATTCCCCGTTTCTCTCACCATCTATACAGTCTGAGGAAATATCTGGTAGTGAAACAGGCTGTTATTTACTTATTTGTTACTCTGCTCTGTTTGCTACTCACCCCGGTTTGCGTTTGTTACTCTTTGAACTGTTTGCGTTAGTTATGGTGATCAATCATCGGTTTCGTGCCTGCTTGGTGTGGTTGAAGACTACATCAGCTGAGCACATAAACGAATCGTGGAGATATGGTGTATTTGATTGTCGAGTGAAACATACTCGGGAGGACAGTTAGTTATCTTGTCACGTAACTCGTCAGCCCTTACGGGTAAATTTTGAATCGGTCGCCAAACAGCAGTTTTTAGCTCTGTGCTCTTGTTACTTCATTCGTTTATTGGTTGCCTATGAATTTGCTCATACTTTGACCCACCCATTCAATATCGATCAATAAATCAATTTATCATGTATAAGTCGTGTGCCATAGGTACATTGGTTTCAGCTGCTACAGTTCCGATCGCCCTGGAGGCGATGGCATGCTCAGTTAGTTTGGAACTGAGCAGCTACGTATTGAAGGCGGTAGCTTTCATGCACGAATGCCACTGACTGCTCGATTGGGCTATTTCTACCAGTTTCATCAACTATTGTTGAGTTGAATTCCGGGATGCCCATCCACAGAGGCGGCCGGTTGAGTTTACTGATTAGTGCTTTCAGACTTTGCCAGGTTATACACTGTCCACGTCGCTTCTACTCAGCACAGGCCTGGGCGAAAGAAGCTCTGGGAGGCAGACGATGTTCAGGCATGCGTGAAGCATGTGTGGCATGCGGAAGAGTATATTCTTAGGACCCTCTGGCGTACATCAGCATTACCAATCTAATGTTCCCACCGACCGATGATTCCGCCAAGTCTTCTAGCAGTACTTTACACTCTGCAGGTGTGAAGCGTATGCCAAACCGTCCGTTAGAGTGATTTATGTTATTTAGAATGGTTTGCAGTTTTGAGGGATATGAACCAAGAGAACAACAATGTCCGCATACTCAATATCTGTAGGTGAACGTCCTGGGAGCATTTCGATCCTTGAGATTTCAGAGGCAAACAAAGAAATTTCATGCAACACAACTGGACGTGGTCAACTCATGCGAGAGCTTGCCGTATACTCGTTCGCTCCCACAGGAAATCGGATACAGCGCCGTCATAAGGGATATGAATTTGGAAGAGACACCTTCGGTCGCCAGACAATACCAAATTTTATGAAAATCGACTGAATCAAGAGCAGCTTTCTGCTCAACGAAAGCTGAAAGCACAGCTTCTTCAACCCGCTTCCGTTCCACCTCTAAACCATCTTCGTTATCCTCGGTAGCGTTTGCAGTAGCTTTCTAGCCAGGTCAGCTCGATACTCTTGAACTACTGAAACTTGTTGAAGTTGATGGATGGAACTACTCTGCTTTTGCGCACGTAATGCTAACGGGAACGGCATGATCAGAGTCAAGTTGTTTGTCCTAGAAGGAACCACAATTTTTAATTGAGGCTCTATCAGTAACTGATAACCACATGGTCCAACTGAGTTCATGACCATCGCAGTTGGTGGCGTCCGAGTAATTCGATGTGAGCATTTGTGTTGGAAGTTCGTATTGGCCAGGAACAGACGATGATCCCGCGCACAACTGAAGCAATTGCTGCTCACTTTCCTTACGCTGAGCTTCCACTCCAAATCTACCACTTACTTGTGCTTCTTCCGGACTTATTCATCCAACTTGGGTATTCATATCACCAACCAGAATTACCGTATCCGTCCTTCTTGCTGACCGAAACAGTTTTGATAGATCTCGATAAAACCCGTCCTCACTCTCAGAAACACAGTCTGTCGAAGCTTATGCCGATACAACAAACAGACATTGTTCGCCGCATCGACCTGCACGGCGCAAAGACGACTGTTTACTGGTATACAATCCAGTGAGTTGCTCCCAGCCTTTGGTCTGAGTGGAACTTCCACACCGTATATACCACAAGCCATTGTGCCAGGATCACCGGATACCCGGAGAGTGAAATGTGGAATATCTGAGCTTTTCCTAAGTGGCTTGAGGTGCGCGACCGAGGTGGTGTCTTGTTAGCGTGTTTCGGACATCGACAGATACTGAATGTAAGGATTCAGCAAGAGGTTCCTGTTCCTCAATTTGACACAGACTACGGACGTGTACTAGATCTTTTTAGGTTAGTAAGTGATTATTTTGGTTCATTTATTTGGGCGACCGTTTATGCATAGAACAGTGGCCAGGAGAGTGGCAGGTGGGGAGGAGGTGTGCCAGAAGGCCGGTGAGCTAAGAGCTGTAAGGCTGAATGTTTCTTCCCGGTTGCTCAAGCCTAGGAAAGGGTTTGGTCGAGGTACCCCATCTTAAGTTCTCCCACTCAAAAGTCTGACCCACAAAGCAATGGAAGGATGTAAGTTTTTTGTTCGGAGACTTCCCCTCTAGCCTCCGACTCAAAGTCTGAACCATGAGATGGCCTTTAGGATTTTCTTGGGAAACCCTTTCCTGAGCCAATACTCTGACTCCCTTGGCTGCAGGAGGCCGGCCTGGTCCGAGGACACAAAGAGTAAGGCGTTACGGTCTCCTAGTGCAGTTGCGCTCATCAGGTGCCTTTTGAGCAGTATTTCGATCGTTTTGAATAATGCGCCGGCGGTCACGGCCAAACGTTGGGTGATAAGAGTGCGCAGTCTTTAATGCCGACCTTTTTGAACCCGTCCTTCGGGGGAATGCAGCATCGCTGCTTCCATGAATATGGACATGCTGGTCGCCTGAGGGAAACGCCTTACTTCCTTCACACTCCTATCGCAGACTTTATCGCGACTTGGTCTCCAGACTGCTTCGTAATACGACTACTCACAGTATTAGCTCGCTGTTCTTCGTCGGCAATTCTGGCATTGTTGAAATATTGGAAATTGAGTTGGAGCCACTATAGCCCATAGGATCATTGAAGCATAGAAGCCCGACTACTTCGAAAAATGTGACAGCTTTATGTCGGGATCCGTTCACCACTAGTGCTTGAGTCACTGCTCGTATACCGACGGCATGCACCTGTTAATAACCATAGTGTTGCAAGTCATTTAGCGATCCGGTGTTTGAAAAACATGGGGTACTTGTTGTTTTGAGTCAATCCAGAAGTTACCGCTTCAGAGGGGCTTTGGTTGCCTTCCGGTAGATCGGGCAAGGGACTGTGTTTACAAAATCAAATGCCACCGTCACACTAAGGCGGTTAGAGGACTTCATACCAGAATCGGTGCATCCTTCTCCCTCCTTCTCCTTGTGCCAAGATCACTGGTACATCTCGCCCGGTTTTGCTTCCTCGTCGAATAGGCTTAACGAGCTGTTCACAAGCACATGTAAGTTGTTATCTAAAGCAACAAGTAAAGATTCGGCACCAGATGACATTTCACAGCCTTCGTAGATTTAGCTGACTTCGTGTTATGCGGAATTCCGCACCGATACCGCCGCTTGCTGCTGAGGCCAATAAGTCTATCCCGCACGCGGTTGGCCAAAAGATTGACCCGCTTGCCGGTCCATCATCAAGGCGAGCTCTGATTGGCCGAGATGATGGACCCAACTGCCAATCATGGTCCGGTATCCGCCGCATACCGGTTGCCAAGGCCGCATCCAGAAGGCGCCAAAATTTCTAGACTGTTGTCGCTGCATACCCTTTATATACGTCGCGTTAACTGGTTTTGGGCGTTAGTACACGTCAACACCTTTGTGGTGGTTTTGGCGGAACGCTAGCTTATTAGGTTCATACCGAGAACTAAGCCGAAAAATACTGTTGTTACACCTGATCGTAACTCAGCCTCTTCATGCAGCTGATTGACTCGATTTTTCCGTATTTTTTGGCCGGCGCGCAATGCACTGCTTATGGGAACACGGCAGGCGCGTCAAACAGAAAAACTCCATTAGTGGCACCGTTCTAGAACGTGTGTCCCTCAAATCATCAGGCAACGAAACTCTGACCTGATACTGCTGTTAACTGTGTCCCTCTATTTTGTTCTCAAAACGGACCAGCTGACATCCTATTTCACGCGACTTGAACCAAATGCTACCGACATTACAAGCGTGGGAAAGTATACTCTTTACTTCTCCTTGTTTCACTGAAAAAGGTTTGCTAAACTGAGTTCGTCTTCCCTCTTATGTGAAGCATCATGCAGTTGTTGGAATCTTTGTTGGTTTGTTCAAGTTTGTCCGGTTCTTTTTAACGCTTTCTGCGTTGGCTCTTGCCATACTTTGTGTATCTGTGTGTGGATTTGTTGTAGCCACTAGCCGCGAAGTATCACCTACTCGATTGGCCTATATGTCCTACGGTATTCCGGGGGATTATAATCAACAGGGACCTTATAATGCCGCCGGATATGCTGGACGAAACGGATTGGCCGACGCCCGACAAATGGTAGGCGCTACTTCTCCGATGTCACCTTACGGAGCCGGGACCGGTTCTCGTATTCCACGTAGCCAGGGTGCAAGTCGGGAACCTTCTCCCACTCGTTCTATTTCCGGTTATCAGCAGCCTATTTACAATACTCAGTATAGCAGCTTCCGACAGCGAGGCAGGCGTGAGTTGTTTGTTGTTGCTTCTCAAAAGTTTTTGGTTCTGATATTCATGCATTTTCTCCTGGTGAGCGCACCGTTTGGCCTCTTTTTGGTTGTGTCGCTCTCCAGGATTCTCGAGAATTACCCCCCGAACAGCCAGACACCGATTTCACGCTTGATTTAGGGCTTTGTACTGTTTCATAGATGTAGGAGCTATGTATTTTTTTCGTTCAGTTCATGTGATCAATAAATCTGCTTAAAGAGCAGTCTAATCCTTATTTTTTTTATCATTTTGGAGTATATGACAAGTAGCAAGCTCGTAAGACTTGTATCTTAACGTGATAATCATAAGGATTGGTGGATTTCTTTTCCTGACAAACTGCATCACTCCTTGATAAGTCTAGTTTTTGCCACTCAATCACATCATCGGTTCTTAGAACCGCAAATTATTCGGTTTCGCGAAAATCTAGTGAACCACGCGAATCGTATCCAACCAACTCAGCTTTCCCAACGGAATAACCCCACACTTTCCTTCCGGATAACTGGAATTTGACTGCATTGCGCTGGCTTGACACACTTAAGCCCTGTGATCAATACCTGAGTTTCCTTTGGGTTGCGAAAATTCCGTTCAGCGCCGATGCGTCAATTGACTACTCAGATCGAATGCTACTTCTCTTGAGGGACTTCTTAATTTATTCTTGTTTTTCCTAACCCTTCGGCATTGAATGGAAAGTAGCGATTATCTGGAGTACCAGGTCCCGTGGAGACCTTAATTTCTTCGTAGCATTTACACCGGGGTGCAGCAGAATCTGACCCACGCCCTATTCAGGACCCATATCGGTTGAGCCATGGATTGATGAATGACTTAAACAGCTCTATAAAATGATCCGGTGCCTTACTCTCTCTTTACTTTACTCTTTCTCATTTCAGCCTCTATCAGTACAATGAGCGACTATGGTGATTCGGTGGACACGGTAAATCTTTCTGATTAATTTTGTGTTTCAATGTCCGTTATAGTCCGCCTAGTTCCGTTGTGGTCGTGTAATCGGTTTACTTTTGTGGGATGATGTCTTGAAACGATGCCGTAAGAATCATACTGAAAGTATGGCGGCCTGATTGAACGCTAGTTTTTCCGAGAATGTAGAAGGGATAGTCTAGAATGTTACGTTTGCCAGCCTTTTAATTCTTCTTACATAATAATCCATAAACATAAGAGGCCATTCCGGAAGATGATTATTTCATTCGGTCAGGTGAACCTGCCGATGTGGAGTTGGGAATTTCGGATCAAGATCATCAATGATATCGGTCGATTATCAGTGTCTATTCAAATCAGTGTACCTACTGTAGGACCCTTAGCACATTGAACAGACATCTCACCTTACACATGAACTGGCACCGGGTCGTTGTATCAAGTCTACTGTTTTTTATCTATGGTGGCAACACCAGTTTTGAAGACCACCGCTATACTGGGGTACGACTGTGCTGCACTGCATTGTTGCACAGTGAAATTCTTCCACATTGTCACTGACAAGACCGGTTGAAAACGACCTCTCGGGAAAATTCACAATTCCCTATGAACTACGGTGTTGCCTAATACAGTATGTACGTTTATTCAGAAAAAAATTTGAGAATGACGGTAGCTGCTGATGTGTGGACAATCGATGACAATTCATCCCAGAAGCTCCAGAACCGAACGTGATCACCAGAACTGGGTGGTTGCTGTGATGAGTTTTATCACTGTGCTAACTGCGACACTGTCTAGACTGTTGGGACTAGTGACTAGAGTAGCTGACTGGGAAGCCCGATTTCGAAGCAGCATTGTTGAAAATGTGAAGAGATTTGGGAAGTTTGGTTGAGATTTCGTCCCGTAAGTGATGTCAGTCTATACCGGAATGTCGAGAAGTACTGTACAGCTGTTTCATCCTTATTTAGAATCATCGGCATGCACATCTCACAAAATCCTGAAATTCCCGATCCCACGAACTTCCGACCAAGAGTTTGAGCTCTCATAGTTCGACCGCTCTTTGCCGAACGGATAGGTGTTCAGACTACCATCTGGGAAGTCGCTGGTTCGAGGCTCTCTGGAATCTCGTGGGATGCGCACTGCTGATGATTCTCAATGAGGCTGAAACAGCTGTACAGTGCTTCTCGGCTTTTGGCAAAGCAGCGTTGTTTGGAACAGGGGCGCTAGGGTATTCCAACCCCTAAAGAACTCTTATTATAAACCAGGAGATCGTGTTTACAAGATCTATCCATTGATCACACTGGTACGACTGGCTCATCAGACATCGCATAAAAATCTTCAGTGTGAGTTATACTGTTGCATAAGGTCCAGGACGTAGCAACCGGGCATTTGCTCAATATGTCCCCATAGGGTAGTTTAAAGGTGGGCCTTCCAAATACGCAATACCTTAGAAAAAAGGACTGATTGACTCAGAAACTCAACCGACCGGAAATACCCCAACATGTGAACCGGACTTGAGATTCCCCATATGAACCCAACTTGATGTGATGGACAGTGATTAGGAGTAGCATTGAAAATGATCAAACATGTAATGAGGTCAGTTTGTCCCTTTGGTGGAAAATGCCATCCGACCATGGAAACCCGAAATGATTCACTGGATGTTTAAACGCTGTCGGAGAGCCATGAGTCTCGGTAGAGAGATAACTAACCACGTGTCTTCTATCTTTATCTAAAATCGATGCTTGGTTGAAACTATCTGATAAACGGGGAATTAGTGTTTTCCATGCAGAGAATATTTGCATTTTCCCGAATGAATTGCTCTTTGTCTAGTTTTTGCGCGCTGTGATCCTATGTGTTCAAGTGTGTTCCACCTAAGTTTCCAACTTTTTTTGATTGATTTTGTGTGCTCGGCTTCGCGAATTCATTTATCCCCACCACACTACACTTGAGACATCAGTGTGTCAGACTTCTCGTGATCGTGTGAACAGTCAGTCAGTGTGAGTGCCTGGACGCTCGGTACAGTAGGCAAATGTAAAGCTAGAAATCCGCGGTAATTTTGATTTGTGAAAACCTAGTAATGTTCTGTGTGACTGCGTTGATTCCGTTTTGGGCCGGACACTTTCGACAGACGTCTAGCTTTGAGCTATTCACGATATGGGCCCAAGGAAAAACCGAGATGGATCAATTTACTCACCAGTACTAATGTTGTCGCAATCAAGTTGTAACCAAAACTGACTGAAAAATGCTCGGAATCGATCGGTACGTTACATTAAGAAAACTTCAGAAGATCCACCGACTGTTTTCGTCATTCCCGAAATGTTGTTAACAAACTGGAAGCATTTTAACGTTTTCGCCGTGTAAACAGCTCCGGAACATTTGATTGATTTGGACATCGACCGATCGATAACCCAGTGCCAACGACGTGTGTTCATGGCCAGACATGCAGTAATCAACCAAATATGCTAGCAATCATCCAGGTGTGCCACGTTGTTAGGGTGCCTAACCTAGACCAAAAAGTTACTGTCAAGTAGATGGTTTCCAGACACTAATTTGATTGAGGGAAGTTTGTTCCTTGATGCATAAACATTTAGTTATGGACGCGAGTCCTCATAGCCGTTCTGCGATTAAGCGTTTACGCGCGACCAGCGACCACTCATAATTCTATGTTCGGTCTACGTCTATTCAGGCCTAGCTTCAGGTTCGACAGTTGTGTTGTAACATTTTCCTCAACTTGGCGCATTCCCCATTTGTAACCAATTAGTAACCTGGCCTGCAAGTGACCTTTTTCTCCACTCCATTTCCCCTCTGCTCTTTCTACATTGCGACTTCGATAGAAATCAATCTTATTCTTGAAGATTTAACTGTAGCATGATTTCAGTCGATAACCATACGTTTGTATGTTGTAGGAAGAAAGTTTTTACAGCTGCCAGATCCTGCATAATTCCAACCATCCCATGTAAATAAACCTGTCCATCGCACTGAAAGTACGGTAAACATACCTCCCTCTTGCAAACGTCTTGCGCATTTTCGATCAGGCTTTGCGAATTCAGGTCAGGTAACTAACTTGGAACTGATCATTTCCGCCCCAGACAACTGATTTCCACTTCGTTGTTGTTGAACGTTTTCGTCACACTGGGCTAAGCACTGCGGCCATATTCATTCTGCTAATTGTGCTTTTCGACTACTCGCTGAATTATAAATGTGCAAAGGCGATTCCCTCCAGCCTGTCTTTGAAAGTCTCTGGAATTTCCATTGAAGCTTATCCCCAGCTCGCTGGCTACGTGACTACGTAGACAGCTTTCATCTTATAGAAATCGCTTCACTGTTCTCTTGGACAAGTTAATGAGATCGGGTTTGTTCTTACTCAATATGCTTTAGACTGACGTTGCTGAATTTGGCACGTATTTAAACTGACGGCTTATCGATTCCGTATTTCTTCTTCCAGTTTATGACCAACAGTCGCCACCCTATGGAATCAGATGACAATTTTAGTGAGACCTCCTCTCAATGTTCCGATCGGTCCGCACGCTCCGGCTTCCGACGACAGCCGTCTGTTCGTGTGACCAGCGTAAGTTTTTCTTGCCTGTTCACGTACATGGACGTTTGCTCTCATACACACGCAGCCGTGGTCACTAACACCCCATTTGATAAAGCTAATTTGTTTCGGAGTCTTTTGTCTCAATCACCACTTGTTGTTGTCTCGCTACCCAATCTAGTGTGTGATCCTGTGGTGACCAGTAAGTAGGACAAAAAGGCCTCTCTCCCTTGTGCAAGTATAATTGAAGTATGTGGATTGTTCTTTTGACTCTAACATGCAACCTAGTGTAACAGCATCGCTGTTCCCCCAACTCTCGACCTAGCCTGCTATCCGCAGAATGTGTAATCCACGTAGATTGCGCGTTTACCTCATCCCTTCGCATCGCACAATTCCTCACTTGTGCTGCAGTGCAATAATTCGTCTGAGTCCTGACCACCTGTGATGTCTCTAAATGTTACCGCGTCCGCGGACAAAATTCTTTCCTCCACCAAGAGGAGTTTGTCAAGCCACGTCTTCCGGCATTGTACACTTCTGTACAGTAGTTCGTTGTGCTACCACTGCACATGTTAATCAATCCTCTACACCCTTATTTTTTTAGAATCTGAAGGAAATTTTGGGACAGCTGTCGGGAGCTCAGTGGTCCGATCGAAAAGATGGACTAATCAATTTGCAAAACTACATGCGATCCGGCAGTCCATTGAAGTAGGTCAATTGCCTGACAAACCACTTATTCCTATTTCATCACTTGATGTGACTACCAATGCGTTTGTTCTCTTCCACCCTTTCAGCCCGGAGGATATCCGTCGGTTAACTGAAATCTTCTCCAAAATGTTTGCAGATTCCCAGCGACAGGTTAGCGTGTCTGCCAGTTTATTATTTGCTGAACTTTTGACGGCCTCCAGCCATTAAATACCGAAAGAAGGCTGAACCGGTTGATACTGTTTTCGGTATTGAATTTTTGCGTGGCGTCTTTTTTTCTTTGCTTTGAGGTGAGAAGAACTAATAAAAGACTTCTGGGTACTGTGTGGTATCCTTACCTCCACGCTGCTACCTGGTTCATAAAACAATTGGTTATGGTGTACGACAGCACTGACGCGCGACAGGACACATCGCCTCCCTTTCTGTATACCTTCCTGCTTCTGACATGTTTGTTTGTTGCTCAATTTCGGCTTGAAGCCACGTACTTTTTTAAAAATATGACAGCGCTGGGTCACGTGAATACTTTTACCAGGCTTCGTACGTCATTCATCAACCACATGATCTACTTTGTATGCATGCAGCGTCTGTAACAAGTGCGTTTACATTTTCGTGTGTTTTGGAGCACTAGCCCTACCCTGATATCTTATCTTACAAAAATAGAACATCCGTGCTGGTTACTATTTCACTTCAGTCATAATCAATGATGATTCCTATGTCGAGCGCTCGTCTGAGATCTTTTAAAAAGTCCTTCAGCTGTCACTCGATGTATAGCTGCCATATACTCCTATGGAAGCACGATAAACAAACCCAGACGAGGTTGATCGAAAGGTCAGGAAGACACTCGAAGCCCGAGCCTTTCCGGACAACAGCTCGTACCTCAATCCCCAGACTTTCTTCATCGCAGCCCAATATTCCATCGTGCTGTTCGCATTTGCCCTTTGGTTCCCTCCGGGCTACCGTTCCAGGACACGCATTGCAAGCTGCTTGGTGGTCGAGCTGTTAATGCAGGCTTTACGGTCGGTCGAATCGAAAATGATGTTCCCGGTCCTCTTTTTTTCTCATGGCAGTGCTGAGAAATCTTCAGGATGTTGTTTGAAACAGCTCCATCTTTTAATAACTTGAATAAGTCCATCGNGTACCTCAATCCCCAGACTTTCTTCATCGCAGCCCAATATTCCATCGTGCTGTTCGCATTTGCCCTTTGGTTCCCTCCGGGCTACCGTTCCAGGACACGCATTGCAAGCTGCTTGGTGGTCGAGCTGTTAATGCAGGCTTTACGGTCGGTCGAATCGAAAATGATGTTCCCGGTCCTCTTTGTTTCTCATGGCAGTGCTGAGAAATCTTCAGGATGTTGTTTGAAACAGCTCCGTCTTTTAATAACTTGAATAAGTCCATCGTCTTTCTGTTATGAGCAGGGATGGCCAGAAAATCTGGCTTGGGGACCATTTCCATGAGACATAGTGTTTTCTCAAGTTGGCCTTGTGCTGTGCGGTGATCGGCTACTCGGACGTTTCTGCATACATGATGAAGTTTACGTGGAGTCAGACACGTTTTGTTAAGAATTAGGGACGTTTCAGTTTAGCTTAACTCAGCTTACCTTTTTCCAACTATTCCCTCTACCAACATACGCCTTCGGACTTTACTGCCTTCCGTGGCAATCGATTAGGAGACTGTCACGTTTCAGCACCCAGTTTACCAGCAAAAAATCGTCTGGTTTTCAGATTTTCAGACTCATCCTGAATTATTGACATTCATCTGGGTGTGTCTTTGACATTCCAGGTAAAAGATTACTTGCACTGCACGAAACGTTCAGAATTTATGAAAACACGTGATGTGCTTCTCTAAACGGAAGTTCAGTAGTGCTGGCTCTAACTCTCGAACCGGCAAATATGTTGTTCCAACTCTACTCATGACAGTAATTCTTCGCCCTTGAAATCGCGTAAATAAAGTACTAGTTGTAAAATCCCCATTGGTTTATCGATTGCACTATGGCATTGTGCATTTATTTGCTGTTACACGCAAGACCATATTCCCATGTCTGCTTTTTTCAGTTTTCACGATCTTTCTATTGCTTCACCTCTTCAGGTGGTCAGCCTTTTTATGGATACCCTACAGTTTTTCATCAAGGAGTATAACCCACTGCTACGTGACTGGCTGTACACGCTACTCATTCGTCTATTCAACCGTCAAGGATCGGAAGCGGTTGGAAGCTATCAGAAAGCCATACAGGAAGCGTTGTTCGTCGTTCGGTATGTCCTACATTCATTCACTCTTAGTTAAAAATGAATCGCGCTTGACAATCTTGTTAGTTTCTTGTATATGGAGCGACGCTCCTCCTCAAGAAGCTAGTTGTATTGAATAAGGCCATTTAGAGTCACATGCACGTCTCAATGTTTTTTTACTGAGCGCATATGCAGACGCAGTTAACACCTTTTCAGCCGCTAACCGTCAGCCAGAAAGCAATTTTCAATTACCCTGATTTCAAGCCAGAATGTAGCAAGTTCTCCCCTTTTAGACGCTCTGAATGCCGCGTTTAACTATTACACAGTTCCATAATCTCCAGTCCCTCTCGTACCTTATCGCGATCCCTCGACAGATCATCTATAGAAAATTCGAGTTTGTTGCCATCGGGCTTTGATTAAGTCACCTCCAATTACTCAATACCGCACGGGAGCACTGTAGCTTCCGAGCCTCTGGGGGGACCATCCAGAGTTATCTGTGCCACATAATAGAATGTTTTCCCTTACGAACTCTTCCTTGCCCAAGTGAACTATTTCCTGTCCTTCACAGCTGGCTATAACCTGGTGGCAAAACTTTTCAGTTTTTGTCCGACTGTCCAAATAAATAAATACTTAACGGTTAAGGTGTATTGTCCGAAACTGCCCTCATGATACACTCCACATGTTTCTCCTCACATCAGGTCACACTTTCCTTTGAACCTACAATTTACCAACTGCTGTCGATATATCATGGATAACGCGCAGGCGCCCAACATCAAAGTCAAAGTCTGTTTGCTGGAATATCTAAAAGATCTCATTCTGATGATGAGTCCAGATGCACTCAATTCGCCGTCGCAAGAAGTAACTTCTGCTATTGCTCGGATTATCAGCTGGTCAGGTGAACCCAAGTCACCGGAAATTAGGCGTGTAAGTCTTACCGCGTCGTATTCAATTTGACTCCTTACTTAACTGGATCATCACCTGTCTTGTTGGAGAGAAGCTGCGTTTTCTGCGTTTCAAAGTGTCCCTTTCAGACGGCCTTCTTGTTTGCCACATATGCTTTCTATGTTGTTTACATAGGTTGCTTTTAACCGTCTCCAGGTCAACATAGAAGTGGGCTTCATCAAGAGTTAACCGCTATCCGTATGACCGACCGAAGATATTGTCGAACATCTTCCGAGGTTACTGATCTAAATAACTGAACAGTAGTCACTTATGATTCTAATGTGTAGTTCACTTTCTCAGGAAGAGTACCAAACTTATGGCTCATATGTTTGTCCATTGAGGATATTACCACCTAACTCTTGCTCAACTTGTTCACCCATATTCAAGAGGAGGGACATCCCTCAAAAGTGCTTTTACTAAGCTCCCGTAGCGCGTAGTACTTTGGTCTGTGTTCGAAGTTGAAATAATGGGATATCTTTTCTTCCCCACAGATGGCATCTCGCGTTGTCATCAAACTTTACGACCTGAATTCTACGAGCTTCGCCGCAATTACACAAGGCTTGCCGCGAGCTATCAAAGACAGAGCTACTGAGGTGCTCAAGGCTTACCAGAAGACTACCACGGGGACGGGCATCTCCAGTCTAATGGAACCGACTCCTACTGCTCCAGCCTGGAAACCGCAGTATGTTTTTTGTTTGATTCCGATGTCTTCACATCTTAATCCAGTAATGTAATTTAAGTAAATCGCAATGTCTCCTTTCATGCAAAGTTTCTAGGTTTTGGAAACGAGTCTTGAGCCTGGTAATTTTAAGTGAGGAACTACTCTGTCCAAGATTACAGCGCGCATTACTCGCTGTCAACACAAACACAATTAATGTGAAAACAGGATAGCGGAATCAAATTGTACATATCCACTTTTTCCCTTGGAACATACCAAATTCACCAGTCTCTTCATGTGACCAGGGTTCTTCATATACATTTGAATCATTTCTGAGACAGGTGTTGTAATCCATCGGCATGATCTCTTGAGTCGTTTGGTAACAACTATTATTGAGCTAACCCGTGGAAGCTCTTCGCACACTTGTCCACCTACACTCTCGTGGTAATTCGTGTGCATGTCTCGCTTGTGACACGCCTAGTTCTTTGTTTATTTTCTCATGCACCTGTTCACGATTGAGCAAAATGGTCACAGATAAATTGCCTTGTCAAGTGTTGTTTGCCTCATCAAATCATTTATACATTACTTGTACCTATCTGTATGCATAAACGTGTGTGTATATATTTCAGTCTTTTCCGTACCGGATCTTTGCGGCAACGACCCTCTCCCTTAACGGCGCGAAGTTACATGACTAGGTTGGTGCCTGTTTGCTGTTTGACCTCCGTCAATATTCCACCTGCCTGTCACACCAAGAGGGCGAATTTGACTGTACTAACCACGCTCCCAGTAGCGTTTTCCCCTCTGTTTCCCACTTCACGTCAGCCATCATCACTGGCTTTCTTCTGCATGAATTTCCCTTGCTCATGTGGTTTGGGTGTATTGAAATGGCCTAGCCTTGCTCTGTTGTACCCATCTCGTTTGTGAATACTCACGGGCTATTATATTCCATGTGCTTTGATAGGAAATCGTTGTTTGCATGCGCGCAAGCGTCCTTCCTGTACCGCACCGGGTGCACAAATAAGCGTTCTGAGGTTATGGTGTATCTAACCGATGAGTCAACTTGTGTGTGTTTTCACATATGCTTTTGAATGGTGTACTGTTCCACTTTTATGGTGCCACCACTTTCTACATATCCCTCACCCTGAATACAAGTGTTCTGCCATTAATAAACCGTGCACATGATTATAGGGACCCTGCCTATTCAACATGTTTCCCCCTTATAGTTAGATGAGCTCCTATCCATCATTAGGTCATTTGTCTCTTATAGCAAATACGGCATCGGTGATACCCGTGTTGAAATCACTAATCTGGCATAAGACGATGACAACCGGAGCGAATCCCTCTGTTTAGAAAAGCTTAGGTTCCCTATTTTCTCAGTTAATTTTTATAATCCATATGGAAATAGTGGATTGGACAGGAGATACTAAGTACTGTCCCGCGTTGCTGTGAGCTCCCGAATGGAACATTTTTTCACCAAACGTCTGCCTGTATTCATTCCAACCGTGAGCTTGTGGATGAGTGAGTTCAGTTTGTTATTACGCTCGGGTAATAACAAAATATAAAGCCTGAAAACATCACAAACGAGAGATTCAGCTGGGTTCCAGGTGAGTCTCTCGAAAAACCAAATTAGTTTGCAAATGAGTGTATATTCGCTGATTTCGTGCAATTTGGCCTCAAGGAGAACATAAGGTTGGCGGAAACCCGGAGACTGCGCGTACCTGATGAGCCCCAAAAAGTGCGAAACCAGTCGTGGGCTGTCGATGGATTTTAAGCAACCTTATGAGTAGTACATTACAAAGAAAATATAAAGCCGTGCAATCAGGTGAATGCCTAAAGTTCTTTGAAAAGTCACATGAGATTTGTCCGCCAGGCTGATCACTCAGCTAAACTGGAATATCTTGCAGTATTCCCCCATGTCTGGAGGATTCTAAAGCTTTCACTCAATGAGGGTTATTTCCTCTTGGGGATGGCTGATCAGCTCTTCCCGTTTTGCCTGCTTTATGCATTAAGGCGGTGTAATTTTATTAGGGTGTTACCGGGCAGTTTTCCCATTGGCCGTAAGGAAGTGATTGCTCCAGCTATTCATTACCACTGCATATCCATGATTTACACATACAAAAGCAACATGGCTTTCAGGCCTCGTTATACTAGGACCCAGTAGTTCTGTCTTCTAGCTGAATTCGAATAAGATCTATCAAGCACGATAAGTTATCTTTAGAATAGTCGATCTGATCAGAATACGAAGATGGTTGCCTTAGGAGAAATGCTGCGGAGGCCTACGAATGACTATCCCTCACCTGTGCCGGGAAGCCTGCAATTTCCAGTGAACTTCTGGAGCAGGTGGAGGACACACCGATTTCATATCCGTCATTGGATGGTTCGTAGGTTTACAGTCACGTCACTTCCTGTACATTTTGAGGCGCCGAGGTGAATGAAATTCTGCGGGATTGGAAATCATTAGGAGGAACCTGTGTTTCTGAATCGCTCAAATCCCCCATCTATTGACGTGTATAGCACAAAAATAAATCTCTTTTTTATGAGAGCTAGAGCAAGTTTTGTTTTGAGGTGTAGGGAAGTTTTCGGAAGAACACCTCCAACACTTACTGAAGCTGTCAAGTTCCCAGAAGAAAAACTGCCACTTTGCACTGGGTACAATGCAGTTGTAATCTGGTCTAGATGTCGACCAATCAAAACAGCAAAGGTCTCTGTATGAGTGCTCGAGAAATCAATGAATTGGTTTCATGCATATTCACATTTCACCATTTCAAGTAGATTTATACTAATGGGCTTATCGGTTGCTATCCAGTATTTGGACGCATATCCACAATATCGTTCTCGAAGAGACCCTCTGCATTTGGGGGCATATCGCTTTTTGGATTTTGCTGAATGCACGCACCTTCATTTAGCTTTCGAATCCACCTAAACACAACTATTTTTAGGTGTTGTCTCCTTTGAAGTTTGTTTGCCTTCATTGACCCAGTATTTCGTAACCAGTGCACATCATAATCACAACTAGTCCACTATAAATTAATTTCTGTAGTAAGTAATTCACAGCAGTATTAGTGATCGTAGTTTTCCCTCTAATTCAAACGTATGCTGTGTTTTGGGGGTGCCATGCTTCTCTTAATCTATCTCTTACCTCTTAATCTTAATTACGTTGGCCGTTTAGGTCTGTTGACCAAGATGGTCATTTGTCCCACGGAGCAACCCGCACACCCAACGACCCAGGACGCTTAAGTCCTGAGACAATGAATAATATGATACGGCAGACAACAGAAGGTCTGCAGTCACTCACGGTGGGCATGCAGGCCCCGACAGCTGGCACCCCAAGGCGTGTGTCCACTGGATCCGTGCCTAATGCCGCTCATCAATACGACTCCTACCTGAGTTACGATCCAGCGCAGACTGCGGCTACAAACGGCATGGGCGAAATATCGGGTGGAGTTTTGCGGACAATGCAACCGAGCAATATTCCCAATCCGTCGTTTATATCTCCGGGAATCGTTCCATCACCTGTGAGCCATTCGTATGCAGCGCCTCCGGTTCCTCTTGGTGACTCTCCCACATCGGCGCGGTTCGATAACAGGGTGCGTTGTATTCTTATAGCACATGTGCAACATAACTAATGAATAGCTTTCTGGCTGTCTTTCACACACCATACGCCACACTACCGAGTGCAGTCCCTGTAGTGTATTGTTTAAACGGGCTCATTTTGTGTCTGGAGAAAAACCTTATAATTAGGTAAGCGCAGCTAGGTAAAGCCATGTGGTACAGCTTGTAAGTGCCCATTCCGAGTGATCATCATGGATAGTAATCGCGGGTGTCTAGCCCACTGTACTTGTCCGCCTTGGTCTTGTTCCCAACACTGTCGGCATCAATTTTCATAAGGGCGATTGGTTTGGACGCTGAATGCTGGGGAGCTTGACCCTTCAACTGTTGCTATAATCAGGGTTGTATGACTTGTTGAACACACGAGCACTGTTGCATTTTAGCCGGGACAACCACGGCCAATTTTAGTGGAACCTTGTGAAATGAACGAGCATGGTGTATGACTACTGCACCAAGAACGGTGACGTATTCCCCCCACTGTTGTTTATGCTCCATTTACCTGTTGTATCCTAGGGAAAACCTATCGCCTGCTTCCATTACATCAACAGCGTGAGAGGTTGATACTGGGCGGGGGCTTGTTGAGACTTGTACATTGGTTATGAAATTCTTGTTGTTGATAGTAAGCTACACTTTTTTATGCATTTGGAGTCATCGTTTCACTGGTAAGCCACTCGTAGTTAGAAACTGGTGTCCACTTATCTGTGAAGAGTGGGAGTATGTCTTTACAAACAGGCCGAACCTTTGCGCGAACACCACTTAGCATGTAGCTTTGCATTGTTGCTTGGCGTTTCACTATAGCTAGATGCAGCCTACAAACGTGTTTAGAGCATCTGTTTACCGCTAACAAACTCTCCACGTGCTGCCGAACGGAAGGTTTGTGGCGACCACCAGAACGATTGTTTTCCTCAGTGTTAGTTTTTTCAATAGAGTTCTCACACGCGTGTTTGTTAACCTGTTTTGTGCCTTACGCAGTGCGGTTCTACTCAGCGACTTATGTTGCTCACCAGTAAACAGCTCTTCTGACCCTGGCATGGATATGTGAGACGGCGCAATTCTCAGAATCATTGCTCAAGTTTTCGGTCTCGGAACCACTGTCACTCCCTTGTGAAATCTTCGTGAATTTAGAGCTTCCCATGGCTCGTCTCTAGATCAAATCAGAACTTGCCTAATGTATTTCTTCCTACTATTCTATCCGAAACAATGTCGCTTTTTTTGAAACAACCCAAATTCCGCACACCGCCCGGTCGACCGGCCAATTGTCATTTTTTATTTATATTTTGTAAATAGTGAGGAACATTCCCAAGTTCCTATACCGCGAAGGCAATCCATGTTAAAAAAAACGAGTAGCACAATGCGGTAGTTCCAATCTTGTCGGATGCCGCTGGAAACATGCATCGCTCCAATATCTAAAGTGATTCGAACGGTGGCACCATTCATCCTCCAGTTTACGTCACATGTTTCCTGATTTTTCTCAACTGACCACTTATCATAGGCAAGGCCTATAGCTATAAGGCCTAGTCGGCTACTTATAATTTGCAGCTAGTGACAGGCTTTTGCAGGCTCTCGAATTTGGGGACGACGTATCCGTCGGTTATCAAATGCAAGCTTCTCTGGTCTAATTCACATTTCGTCGATTCAATCAATCAATTTTTCAGCTATAAACCGTGTGCCATAGGCACATTGGTTCCAGCTGCTACAGTTTCGACCACCGGAAAACGGGAAAGTGGAATACAAAACCAAGCATTGGAGGTGAAGGCATGCTCATTTTGTTCGGAAATTGGGTAGCTACGCATTGAAGGCGATAGCTCCGATGCACAAGCGCCACTAACTGCGCGATCGGGCCATTTGCGCCAATGTCATTAACCACTGGTGATTTGAATCCCGGGGTCCCCATCCAGGGAGGCGGCAGTAAACTTAGTCGGGTCGGCCCGACTAGCGCAACCTATGAGGCTTGAATGATTCCTCTATTGCGGAAGAGTTCATTCTACCTAAGACCATCTGGCTTGCGTCAGCGTTACTAATCCGATGTTCCCAGCAGACCTGACCAATGCTTCGGAGACACCGATGATCGAACACTTACATCTTCCGTATGTCCTCTGCGTGTAGGGGTCACGTCTCTGATTCATAATGCAAATGGATCACACCACCGTAATGTAAACTCTTCCCTTGACAGGGAAGAGTCACGTCGGCGCCATAGGTGTAAGAGGTTGGCGAAAGCTTCCCTGTCCTTTCCGATTCGAGAAATAATCTCATCTCCAGCCAGTCCACCGGAACTTACACAGCTGCCCAGGTAAACAAATTTATCTACCACGTCGATTGGCTCACCTGCAAGCATGAGGTGTGGGTTTGATCCCACCCAGTCTTGTAGCAGCATTTTACACTTTTCAGGTGTGAAGCGCATGCCAAACCGTACGGCAGAGTTATTTAGGTTATTTTAAATCGTTTGCATTCGGGAAACGTCTGAACCAAGGAGAGCAATATCGTCCGCATACTCAATGTCTGTGAGGGAACGTCCCGGGAGCATTTCGACTCCCGAGGTTTCAGAGACAGGCAGAGAAATTTCAAGAAACATATCAATAAAAAAGTTGAAGAGGAAGGGGGAAAGAGGAAATCATTCTGTTACACCACTGAATGTAGTGAACTCAGGCGAGAGCTTCCCGTATACTCGCACGCGCCCACAGGATACAGTGCCCTCATGAGGGAGAGAAATTTGGAAGGGACACCTTTGATCGCCAGACGCTACCAAAGTTGCTGACGATCGACAGAATCAAAAGCAGTTTTCAAATCAAGAAAAACGACCGACGTGGGACGTCTGAAGGGGTGGCGCTGTTCAAGAATTCGTCTGAAGATAAAGATATGGTCGATGCACGCTCGACCAGAATGAAACCCAGCTTGATTCTCACGAATCTCTCTCCCGATAATCCATCAATCTTCGCAAAATAATGCCAGAGAGCCCCTTGGATGCGACGGATACCAGGCTGATACCACGATGGTTTTCTCATGACGTTCTTGCTCCCTTTTTGAAAACTGGGATGAATCCGTGACATTACGAATGTCATGCAGGTCACCGGCAGTTGTCGACTGGATCAGAGAAGAGGCCTTAAGAGCGCTTCGTGCCCTCGCGGACGCGAAATAATGTTTTAAGCATTCCATGCAATCCACGTCAAAATTACTCAACGATTCATTGAACAGCTACTCTGAACGTCCTTTCAAAATGGAATTGTTATAAGTTGTGTTGGAGGACAGAAAATCAAGAAAAACTGTTGGTCTTAGTAGCGCTTCGGACACTGCGTCTGAAAGTTAGGACGAACACGAGACCTGTCTTTCCTCGATCTGCACGCCCCACACTGTTGAGATGTCTATATCGAATAGGCTTTGTACGGGCCTATCCTCTTTCCTAACATCATTCATATTTACCGGTTTGTTTGCCTGTTGGCAAGTCTCCCTGACAGCTTAAGAAAGGTTTGTACGTGTCCGTTGGTGACGCTTCGCAAATGTTTGGTTTCTAGGTATCCTGTCAAAAACTGCGTCGCTAGGTGACTGACTCCACAAAGCTACTGTTTTCATATCTTATTTCATAAGTAGGGTATAGGCATAAACTGCAGTTTTGGCGTAAGCGAAAAAATACCTGAATGAAGAGTGCTCACGCTGTACTTTCTTGGAACGTGAAATCTGATCTGTTATCGGTGGTGGTTTTATGTTGCATTCGGAAGTACCCAGGTGGCTTGGTTGTTTGTTGGAGGCTATAGCATCTTCACCTTAAGAACGTAATATATTTTTTCGTCATTGGTATTCGATGCTTTTCCCTTACAGCCTCTCGGTACACTGGGTTTTGATCAGGGTGACGGTAAGTCTGTTTTATCTTATCTCTTATGTGATACCGTGTGTACTTTGACATCATTTCCCGTCAGATCGTTCTCTCCATTCACTTCGCTATTTTGTTCCCACTTCTGCTTATAATGACACGGTGACGTAGGCTGTCAAATTCAGTTCAAGTGACGACTCCCTGCTTCAACTGCGTCCAACTAGGTCTAGTTTTCAACAGTGGTTGGAGTGTTCTTTTGTATAATCGGATTGCAAGATGCAAGGGACTGATATCGTTGTGTTCGACGGAATAGGATCAGTAGATAAACACCTGTCGTTGAGTAGAAGGCCACTAGCCAACCTAAGTATCATGACCAAACCAGTTAGTTTACGTCAGTCAATAATCATCTGTCTGGCTTTTATGTCTAAAAAGCAATTACGCTACTCTCCCTCTCTAAGTGTCCAAGGAACACCAGAATCTGTTGAACAGAAATGTCCCTTTGTGCATGGATGACTAATAGGAATCGCGTTTCACATTTTCTGCAGCTTTCTAGTGGAATTAGGGCCATACTGGCTGCTTTGGGTGAACAGTGGTGAATTTGTTGTATCTTCCAGGTACGTGACTAAGAAACAGCTATGTGGGTTACCAAAAAGGGGTTTCCTCTCTGGTTCTCGCGGTTTGCTTCGCGTTCATCTTCCTACGGAAGTTTTTTGGGATTTCCTGGTGGGAGTATTAGTATATTATATTCTCAAGGAAACGATTACATCATATCAGTGGTCCATTGGAACATCCCTCTGACGCACCATTTTGTTGTTTCAACGGTCCTGTACTCCGGGTAATGTGCTCCTACAAATAACACATGTTCTCCTTAGAAGTGAGGTCATATTCAGCTCTGATCATTTTGAATTTATCATTTGCATGACTTGTAAGTTGTGAACAGGTGTATCAGGTGTTATTAATCATGGCTATTCGGAAACGAGTACGATTTTGCTATCGATAGCCGATGCAGGTCTGCATGAAGCCAACTGAACTGGCTTTTTTTCTAACCAGATCTTGGTCTGTCTTCTTTCGTCTGCACATCTCAAACTCTTGTGTGTCGGTTTTGTTTTTCAAATCTTGAATGTAGGTCAAGATTGATGTGCGGTGTGTAATTCACCCCGCACCCCCCCGCGGTGAACCCGACAAATACACTCTTGCGTAACAATTTGGTTTCCATGGGAGACTCCAATGAATCTCTCGTCGAATAGTTTTTACCAACCTTGCGAGTAGTTTTCTTTATGAAAATATGCCCCCATGAACTCCATTATTCAAGTATAACTGTCAACAGATGGTCCACTGATTGTCGTTCCCGCAAGCAATGTTTTTGCTTCTGTTTACCGCGTGTGTGCCAAATTCAGTAGAAATGTGTTTCCGCTCATCCTTCGTGTGGGTTGCTACAGTCCCGCTGCCAAACTTTAATGTGCAATCCTGCATTTCTCTTTCTCTCCCTACTTCGCCATCGACTGTAGGCCCGAAGCTTAAAAAGCCCGTTATCGGTTATCAGACTCTTAGGAAGATTCGTGGTAAGCTAGCAATGTTCAGTCTTCACGACTTCCACTTAGCTCCAGTTCGACTGCTTCGCTGCTTGCAACCCCCTTGTTCTGTTGTATACTCGTTGCACGTGCTTTATTGCCTCGTTTTACACCTACGGTGCCCACCAATCTATCACACATACAGATACGGGCTACTAATTATGCTGTCCTGCCATTCTTTCCTCTAATTTGTTGAATGGGTTCGTTTCTCGTTTGGGATGACGGTCGTTCAGTGTGCCTCGCTGATCTTGTTTTCGGCTTACCACAGTCTTATTACGTGCTTGCATGCAGCACTGTTGGTTTTTGTCTGCTTCGTCCCGTGTTCCTCCCGTCACCATGTCTGCCTCATGGCTTTACTCCGTTCCAGAAATGCCTCCCGAAGATATAATGTCGGAGATTTTACAGGAGCTTTCGAATCACAACGAACGGTAAGTGACTGGTCAGAAGCTGTTAATATTGGACACAACTAATAAGAGTTTATCCGCTAATTCTTGCGCAACTTTGTCCAATGATCTGAACTTTCCTACCTCGAGGTATTGCTCAATTGGAGTCCGAGCCACATTCAAGGAAGACCATAAGTACAAACAGCTTGGCGACGCAAAAGTTGTGTTCCCGTCTGCATCACAATCAGTTACATGTCGGTATCATTGAGCAAAACAACAACCAATGTTTTATCACATTACCAAGGGACGTTGACATACAGGTTCAAAGTAATTTTTCCGCATCGTTGAAGGTTTCTTCGCACTGAATGGTTTTGTCATGCATTTTTGACGGCGAAACCCGTTGATCTTTTTGGCTCGATGGCGCGACCATTTTTCTCAGGAGCTTTATGGAAGCCATTTTAGATTTACCGAGTGTTAGTTGCGAATTACTTTGCAGTTCCTTCGCGAGGTTATTACAGTAAACCTGAGAAAACAAGGAAACGTTCAGCACAGCGAAGTTTCTTTACGAGATGCTAGAGTCCTTTGATCCACTGAAACGGTGTTTGAGATGGGCGTGCAACTTAAGGTGGCATGAAGTCGCGCTAACTCAAGTGCACACCCCCAGATAGGAAAATTTGCGATAAGTTGACACAGGAACACTTCAGGAATCCTAGAGTTAGAATACTGACTGCTTCGGGGGAACGCGTACACAAAGAAGCACTTAAGTGAACTTTTAGACGAGTGCGCCCGTTAGTGGTGTCCAACAAATCCTTTATCCCAACTATCTCCGTCTATGCTGTCATTTTGAGTAGCAGAGTATGCTGACGATGGCAATAGTGTCTTTACGGGATCTGCCTCCGCGCACTCTTCATATATATGGCCTTTTGGCCACTGCAAATTTTTCCGTTAGAAGTGTGTAGGTCAGGAATGCATTGATTCATCCCCCGATTATTTCCTCCGGAAAGATCTCGCGCTTCCCAACCTGCTCCGCTATCTCCCGCATCGTGAGTCTGTTTCCCTTCAAACCACTACTCGCACTTCACATGGGGTGTGGTTAGATAGTTATCAGCACGTTGTTCATTCTAGTTAAATGGTGCTTCCTCTCATACGAGTGCGTCATGTTGGCTATATGGATAGTACTACCTAACTGACTGTTGTTTGTTTGTGCTAATCGCCTATCCGAGTGTGATCCGAATCATCTTGACTGTGAATTATTATTTTTGTATTCACTTCCATGGTTTTTGTAACGTTGCTATCTTGATGTCTCCACAAGCTTGCAATCAAATCAATTTCACTGCTTTGCTTGTCAAACAATGAAACTCCTTACAGCTCCATTTGACCAACAAATCCAAGCAATGCAGCTGTGCTTTTCTCGTGATGCGTTCTTTACAACCGAGTTGGCCTTTATTCTTGAGATGAGTGGTGCTTAATATCCTGAAAGCTGTTTTACCTCTGCTTCTAATAATAAGATGGTAGATTTTGGTCAACAAAGGCAGTGATCTCCGCAAGCAGAGTTTATTAGGTTACCAATTCGTGCGTGGCCCTCTCAAGGACGTCCAGAACAGGCTGAGTATATCTTTTCACCTGGTCCTTCTTTGATGAGGTTTACATTAATCAGTATCATGAAAACACCATCGAGTTCCATCAACAATACTTCATTCGGAGGGTGCGTGGAGTTGGCAAATCAGCAGTTTGGCCCAAGTGATTAGGGTTCAGGGAGATGCACAACTTTCTTGCTTTCTATAAAACTGAACACGGAACATATTTAGTCATCGTACACTTGCGATAATACGATTTCCAGTATTATAGAAAGACAGTCTGTGCATCTTCCAATTGATTTCAAAGAAGGGACTGAAACTACACATTTAGATAATTCGTGTTGATCGACCCAATAGTACACAATACTTTTGGGCATGTAGAGCGCGCATCATGATCTTGTCTTGTTATCGACAAAAAACTGTTTTCACAGGTTAGTTGGAGGATTGGAATTTCCGCTCTACGCTTATTTTCAGTGAACACTGGTGGCGCGTCTCTCCCGAAAGCTTCCAGATGCGACCTACAGATGGCTTATTAGCAATGTGATTAAGTTCCAATTAGGTGGAATGAAGCAGCGGTGTCCCTACGACATGTTTTTTTGCTGGCTGTTCTTGACCCCTCAGAAGAAGGTGCATGTAACTTGGATTAGCTTTGCTAAGCAGGACTGACTCCATACTTGAACTTTTGTTATGAAAATTTGGACTACATTAGGTAATTGAAGACTGGTTGAAATCCGCCGACAGCTCACCAGGGTTCTCCTCTCCTCCGAGGTTCGCCGCGTAAGCGTACTCTGAACTTTGGTTGAAGAGACAGTGATTCGAAAATAGTTTGAATTTAACGGTATATCAATTTATATGCGAACACGCGGTCTGTTCAACACGTTTCCTGACTGTGAACACGGTCATTGTGACCGTCAATTTTTTTCAATAATGTGTAATGCATACTTGAAACTTGATAGTTAGCTCCAAGGAATGTTTCGGAGCCACCGTCAAAGTACTGGTTGTTCGGAACAGGTCCTGAGTTTTAGTGCGTCCATATTTTTCTCCCAGTGTCGACGATTCTCCCATCATACCTTTCTCGAAAGTGTGGCTGGTGCCTTGTGACCCTTCCTGTGCTATATTTACTGTCAAGCTTTTCTAACGCCACTGTATGCTTCGTTTATGTTCAACGCAACACGTTTTTAAGGTGGACCAGGTACTCTTGTCGTGCGCCTTACTTCTCTTACACTTCCGCTCGTTTCCCAGCTGTACTCTTCCACATTTATCGGCTACCTTTGACAACAATTCTCATTACTACCAGTATCCTAGCACTCTTTAGTATGTTACGCTCAATGAACATGTTTCCAGTCAATCCTTCACTCGGTGTAGTCTATTGATTTTTTACGTAAAGCTGCTCATCAAATTGTGTTAACCGCATTGCCGCAAAAAATGTGTGAATAGATACGATTGCCTCTGTGCTTGTAGCCCATTTGGATCTCCTGTCATTTTTGAAGTGCTCCTTTCTTTCCGTAAAGTCATCCTCTCTGAGTCTTTTTAGTGTTTATTGCTGTCCAGCCATTTTTCCGGCTACTCTCAGCTAATTTGATCGTAGGTGTCGTCTTTGGTCCTTTCTATTTTCTGTACTCCAACCGGTTCGTTGTGTGTTTAAGGTACGAACAACGAAAAGCGAGTATGCTCAAGCTGATCAAACTCTTACGTGACGGAACAATATGCAATTGGGACGAATATTTCAAACCAACCCTACTCATTTTGTTGGAGACGCTAGGTGATGATGGGGTAAGAGTGTTGTTACATCTTTGTCACGTACTTCTAACTACCTCCTCCTCCTTCGATCATCGTTTTGAACATAATCTACTCTTCACACCCTCGAATTTCAGTGTGAAACACGATCTCTTGCGCTTAAAGTCCTTCAAGAATTAGTTCGGGCGAAGCCTGAACTCTTCCACGATTTTGCCTGCTTGTTTGTTATCAAAGTCCTGGATGCCTGTCGAGATGAGGAGAAAACAGTGAGTGCACCAATTACGGGCTGTCAATTGTTCATGTTCACAGGATGTCCATCCAGCTAACTCCATTGTACTTTTTGACCATATGCAAATTAAACTCTGCAGCAAATTAGCTTTCCAAAGACCGCACTTGCCCTTTCGTGAATTTTCATCTGTATGCGCTGTTTTCATCGGCGCTATACACCTCAACCCGTTAATCGAGTTGCCTGAAAAACCACGTGATTTTCTGATGATCTCGATCCAAACTAGTTCTACGGATATGTGGACACCGACCAATATGCCTTTTGACTTTTCAAATCGCCTAAAATATCTGATTGCATTAGTTGCCGTCCGTTTCTTGTGTTGAGTCTTACCGCCACAGTTTGTTTGAATTTGCCACTTTATTTTGTCTAACTCATGCAGCCAAACAACTGTCATTGTCCGACTGCACACAGACTCTTGAGAAAGTACTATCCCGTAGATAATAATTGTGCGGATGGCAAACCGAAGTGAATGCATTATCATGATGAACTGTCACATCTGCTTAATATTGGTCTACGAACGAACGGAGTCATGTGATTACGTTTTCCATAGACACGGGAAATCACTCTCAACGTTACATGTCATATTTTGTGACGGAAGGGTTGCGAATCGGAAGTGACTATGCACCAACCGAGCTGGGTGGAGTCGAGCAGTGTTAACTTCAATTGCAAGTTGTTGGGAATTTTTTTTAGCCAAGTGAAATGTGGCAAACCACGGAAAAAAGTAACACAACAACTACAATGCACAAGGCTTACTGTTTGGCGTAATCGGAGATATAATCTTATTCAGAGGAAACTGTAATTTCACAGCGAGTCAACCTATCGTCGCCATTTCCGCTGTGAGCGGTTGATGCAACTTATCATGTTCTTTATGGGAACGGGACACGCCCTACTAGAATCATCATCATCATCACTGTCAGCTGTAATAACCGCGTACTCGTCGTACAGTGGTTGTAGCTGCTGCAATTTCGTTCACCGATGATTTGGAAGGGAGAAGTAGGTTGCTGCGCATTGCAGGCGGGAGCTGATAAATCGGTGCATAAATCCAGCACTGTCAGTGGGCTGTCAATTGGGGGGGGGGTGGTCGGAAAAGGAGCTATGCATTGAAGGCAATAGCTTTGATGCATGAGCGCCATTGAGGGCGCGACTGGGCCATGTCTGA